GAAACCATAAAGTCGGGGGTGCAAAGAGAGAAAAAGGAAGCAGAAAGGGGAGGCATCTACAGGCGCCTGATGCTTCCCTCTTGCTGCCTTCCTCCATGTAGTAATAGCTTTCTGACTTTAGTCTTTGGACACGAACTGCCCGGCCAATGCATGCATTATGAAAGCGCAAGCAGAGAGAACAGGAAGAGAATGCATTTGAAGGCATAACAGTCCCGAACTTATCAAACTCGACGGGAGAAATGATCATATAGGGCTCAGTGGTAGGTTGGGCAGGCCGAGACTCTGAGGGACGCTGCTGCAGAGGCTGAGAGACAGAGATAAAGAGGAGAGACAGAAAGAGGTACACATTTTAGACGTCAAAGATCCATCTAGGACAAAGCCTGCGCACGTTCAGTCCAGTCTTCCGGAGTCAAAGGCAAGGAGCATGGCGATCGCAGGGAAAAGCAAACCACCCGCCACACACAAGGAAGCTTCCCGAAGATGACTGACGGACTTTCCGCCGACAGAAGGTGGGATGATCCGTTCAAAGTGCTGAAAGAAAAAAAAAAGGCCAGACAGCAATATTGTACTTGTCAAAACTGTACCTTAGCAGCAGAGGAGGGGTGGAGACTTGCCCAGAGGATCACGGTCTACAGACGCTCATTAACAATAAACGTCAATACAAGATGCTCAACACAAAGAGAGGTATTGTCCAGTTTGTTGGTTTGTTGGTTTATCATTAACTTGATGCAAACCTAGACATAGCTGGGGAGAGAGACTCTTAATTGAGAAAATACCTCCATAAGTGTGGCCTATAGGCAAGCCCACAGTGTGTTTTCCTCATTAGAGATGGATGTGGGTGAGCCCAATCCATGAGAGAAGGTGCCATCCTGGGCTGGGGGTCCTAAGGTGTCTAAGAAAGCAGGCTGAGCAAGCCATGAAGAGCAAGCCAGGAAGCAGCACCCTCCATGGTCTCTTCTTCAGGTCGGGTCCTGCATTTCCTTCTCTAATAGACTGGGATGTGGAAATGTATGATGAAATAAACCTCACCGAGCTGCGTTGGGGTCACGGTATTTTATCACAGCAGTAGAGAACTTATCTGGGACAGGTGTGCGAGGGGAACATCCAGGGGGTGGGACGTTTGAGACAAGGCCTGGACTACATGAAAAAACCCTGCCTCAGAAAAATGAGGGGGAGGAAGGGCTGAAGGGTGTGTGTGCCTCAGGTCGAAACAGGAGGGTGTACACAGAAGTACAAAGTCATATAAAAAGAGAAACACATGGGCAGGTGTATTTGAACGAGTCTATAGAATTTAAGGATGAAAAAATTAATCGTACATCTCCTAATGCAATATAATAATATATATAATATAATAATATTATTATATAATATATATTTTTAATATATTTTAATATAAATTTTAATATTTTTAATATTATAAATATATCAATATTATATTATATAATATATATTAATATATAATATAATAATATAATATAATAATATAATACAAAAAGAGCAGAGAATTTGTACTGGATTGAAGTGAGGTGATTATTTTTTAGATTCTATGTGTAACTGTAGTAGTATTTAACAGAATGTTGTCACTCCGTTTCCTGTCATTGCAGTGTTATATATAGCGAGAACTATTTACAGCTTACACACAAAAAGAAACGAAACACTTCTCAAACCCTCGCCATCAAAGTCCCCAGACTGGGAAATGATGGGGGACAAATGGAAGAACTAGGAGAGGAAACGAGAGGCAAAACAGATGGAAGGCACAAAGAAGAGTAAAACTGCTAGAGTAATCCTTCCCTGTCCATCATTGTTATTAATTTTTAATTTTGAAAGATTTATTTCAAAGGTTGTGAGTATTTTGCCTGAAGCAAGGGTGTGCCTGGTTCCCTTAGGGCAAGAAGTGGGTGTCAGATCTCCTGGAACTGGAGTTACAGATGGTTGTGAGCCACTACGTAGGTTCTGGGAATCAAAGCTGCATCCTCCGAAAGAGGAACTGGTGCTCTTAACTGCTGAGCCATCTCTCCAGCCTCACCGGTAATGATCAGTGTAAGTGGATTAACTTCCCCAATCAAAAGGTGAGGTTTCAACGAACGGATAAAAAAGCAGACTCTGCCTATTTACTACCTGTCCAGATTGATTTCTGTTGTTGCAAATAAAACCCTGACCAAATGAATATATGGGAATAAAAGGTTTATTTTGACTTACACTTCCAAGTTCTAGTCCAGCATTGAGGGACAGGAGAGCAGGAAGTGAAGAGGAGAACCGTTCCTTCCTGCTTGCTCTCTAGCTTGTTCTTTGCCGCTTTCTTACACAGCCATGGCCCACCTGCAGGGGACCGCTGCTCACGGTGGCCTGGGTCCACCTGACCAGGACGTGCTGGTCACCGTGGCCTGGGCACACCCACATCCCTCACGACAGCTCCTCACAGACATGGCCATGGGTCAGTTTGACTGTGGCACTTCTTCAGTTGAGACTCCCCATCCAAGGCAATTGTAGGTTGTGCCAATCAACAATTAAAGACGGACTAGCACACTGTCTAAGTGAGTTATTTTAGAACGGCAGCTGCACCTGAGAGTATAAAAATGGAAATAGTCCATATGCATATCAAACAAAATAATGACTATATTAATCATAACTAAGACGAGTGCACGGAGAGCCTGTTTTAAGACACAGAGAACACTATGTCATCATAGAAAAGGTGAACTCACCAGGAAAGTACAATAATATCATACACCAAACTTCGAAGTGCCGAAATATGTGGCAGATTCAGGGAGAAAGAATAGAGCAACACAGTAATAACAGGAGATGCCGACCATAAGTTTTAATAATAATTGAAGGCACTAGATCAGAAGTTACAGAAGAAGGGAAGGCTCAAATAACACCAGAGAGTAACCCATACCATGAGAACAGAATGTAAATTTCTAGACTCTACAGAAAGTAAGAAAGTATCCTTAGCAGAGGCCACACAAGTGAGCCTCAAAACAAACAAACAAACAAACAAACAAGCAAACACCTCTCTCTTCACACACCCAAAGATGTTGATGTCACGCAAAGCATCTTCTCTGGACATAAGGGAATGGGGTAAGAAGCCAGTAGTGAAGGGACATATGGGCACTAATTGAGATGGCTCAGAGAGATCACAGGCATGGAGAACTACCTTAAGACAATGAAAACACAGAATAAACTAGCACCATCTTTCTTTTTTAAAAAAAAACAACCCAAATTTATATCCTAACTATAAAGGAAAAAAAGAGATAAAAATCCAAACAAGATAAACTCTAACAAAGAAAAAAATTTAAAAAATACAACACAAATGATAGAGAGAATGAGAAACCAATAGAAGCGAAAGGAAATGAATCAGCCTTTCTGAGATCAGTACAGTGAACATACTGTTAGGTGGGGTAGGTTCACGGAGCCGACCAGCTAGACTAAGAAGTAGCAGGCAGGACACCAATGCTCCCCTAGTGAAAGGGACCAGAAGGAGCATGGCGCACCGCGCTACACCAACCTATAGACAGGTCAGAGATGCGAACGCGCTCCTGGAGGTGTAACACCCCCAGAGCATGGAGCACACAGACGGGATGTGAACAGCCTAATAACTGGCCGAGAATGGAAAACTCCCCTGAAAAGCAAAGCCCAGGACCACAGGACTTCACTCTAGAATTCTACTAAACATTAGAGACTTAAAGGCCGTTCCAAAACTGCTTCAAAACGCTGAAGAGGAGGGACACTTTTAAACTCTTCTGAGACCCACCGTTCCCTGCCAGCAAAGTCAATGGCATCGCCAGAGCAGACAAAGTGGTAGACCTTTACGCTGGACGGAAATTGATGCGAAAGTACTGACCAGATTATACACTGCGAAACTGCGACCAAATAGTGTCTTTCCTGGAACGCTAGATTCACAGCCGAAATGAGATGCCGTTTTCCTTGCCTGAGAATGACCACCATTTTTAAAAGAAAAAAGTGTTGGCGAGCTTCGCAGTTAAAAGCGCACACTGCTCTTGTAGAGGACCCGATTTCAGTCCCCAGCACCTCACCACGACCTGCAACCCAAACGGCATGAACATCTGATGCTTCTATGCTCCACATTCATCACATGCAGGAGCCACTCCCATCATGTGCATATAATTAAAAATAAGGCAAATCTTCGAAAGGTGTTAGTGATGTGGGGAAGCAGGAGTCTTCGCGTTCGTGGTTGCGGTGTTACTGCACAACCAAGTGCAGTGGGATACAGTGTAAGTACGATGCCTCCTCCCAAACTAAAATAGAAGTGTCGCGTGATATGAGAATCTCCCTGATTGTGTATTAAAAGTCTGAAGCATCACCAAGAACTACTAGGGCTCCCAGTTTCACGGCTGAACTGTTCACGATCACAGGTCCATTGACGCGGCGTGACTGAACCTCCAGGACGCTGCACTTAGGAAACTAAGGCAGACAGCGAGACAAACAGTACTGACTCCACCCATACAATGCACCTAGAGCGGTCAAATTCCCAGGTCCAGGAAGTGGCAATGCTGGTTTCTGGTGCAGAACGGAGGACGAGATGGTGAGATTTATCCAGCAGATGCGTTGGTTCCATTCTGGATGACGAACAAGTTCAGAGACATTTCTGCACAGTATTGTGAGTGTACACTTGACACTCCAGCTACACATTGCCAAGAGCCAAGGTGGTGAACCCCACGCCGTAAACATCTTTATCACGGTAATAAATGATTCAAAACAATTGGATCATTTTGCATTCCTTGCAGCAAATCAGATTTGATTTATTGCTTCTCATTTAAAAGCCGAGAGTAAAGTATACAGATTTTTGCAGGGGCCCCCAGTTTAACTCCTCTTCAGTGTCCTGGCTGACCTTCCTCGTCAGTTCCCAGTCAGGGGAATCGCTGTGCCTGCCACCAGCTCCCCAGGCAGCTCACAGCCTTCAGCCACTTCACACTTTGACCAGCCTCTAGGAGACTTTGGGAATACATCAGGTGAGTTCTGGAGGTCTTGTGTGCAGAAAGAAAACAAAAGCAGACGCTACCTGGGCAGAGTAGCAAGGGACTCCAACGCCCCTGTCACTTCGGGCGGCTGACTAAGCAGGACAGGGTCCCAGGGGACCTGAGGCTGCCAGACATCTGGAGGAACATGGTAAGTGTCTCTGGAACAGTGCCCCAGCTTCTCAGCAGTGGGTAGGCGGCCACCTACGGCAGTTGTCACTTTTCTCCACAGTAACCATCTCTGTAAATGTGACTGCTGCTAACAGCTGCGGCCGAGAAGTGTCTTAGTCAGCGTTCTGTTGCTGGGAAGAAACGCCAGGACCATGGCAACCCTTAAAAAGGAAAACATTTAATTGGGGGCTTGCTTACAGTTTCCGAGGATTAGTCCATTATCATCATGGTGGGGAGTGTGGCAGCAGGCAGGCATCGTGCTGGAGAGGTAGCTGGAAGTTCTACATCTGGATGCAAAAGCAGCGGGTAGAGAGAGACTCTGGGTTTAGAGTTGGCAGGTTGAAATCCCAAAGCCCACCCTCAGTGACACACTTCCTCCTACAAGTCCACACGTTGTAATCCGTACAAATAGTGCCACTCCCCAATGACCAAGTACTCAAATCTCTGCCCCTATGGGGGTCAGTTTCACGCAAACCACCACAAGAAGCCAACACATACAGGAGACGTCAGCCATATATGTGAATGAATGCCTTCATTTCAGCTGATGGGCGGGAAGATTTTTTCCTGGGTGGCTGAGAGGGACAGAGGGGTCTTGTGTACCTGGTACAAACCAAGCTTAATTTGCTTTTGTCTCACTCAGGGAAGGGTAGTGCTGCCAAGAATCGACATTCCATGGCAATCAAATTAGTTTGCACTAACGAGAGTTGATTTCTGGGCACTTTGCTTATGCCTAGTGTGTGTCACTTGGTTCACTCTCCCCGGTTGTGCAGGGCATCTACAGGGACCGGTTTCAATATGCTGGCCATCTAATGGGGCCATGCTTGAGTGTCTGTGCCGTTTGGAAGAGGCTGCTTCGGCATGTTCCGGGATGAGCTCATCCTGGATGGCAAATTTCCAGGGGGAAGGGTGAGGAGGAACCAGTCAGATGTGGGGGTGAAGGACCCCAACTCGTTTTAACTTTAACCACAGTTATAACGTTTTGCAAAGGATGAACAGATAACAAGCCTAGTCAGGGCCTCCGGAGTGCTGAACAAATAACAGGCTTAATTCAGGACCTCCGAAATGCTAAGCAAAGATACTTGAAGTTAGGGCAAGGACAGCTTTATCTGGCTGCGAGACAGGAGATTTATGGACTAGCCATAGAAACAAAGAAAGAGAGGATTGCGAGGCGAGGCCTGAGTCACGTATAAAGCGGGGCTCTCACGAGTCAGGGGCTGTGCAATCAGACATCTAGTCGCCAGCCAAGGAAGGGGGGCAGGATAAGAGAAACAATAAACCGCTGAATAGTCCCCTCATTGTTATTTAGGTTAAGAATTTACCACCCTGCATCTCGCTTCTGTAAACCTTGCTTTTTGCTCCCCTATAAAAACCCCTCACCCCCAACCTGTGGCGTGCAAGTCCTCCGAGAGACTTGTCGCCCCCAGGTACCTGTGTATCCAATAAACCTCCTGCTGTTTGCATCCGGCTGCGTGTTTTTGACTGATCTTTGGGCACGGGGTCTCTCCCGAGGGAAGACGCCCACGGGAGTCTTTCAGGGGGAGGCGCGAATAAAGGAATTCCACTACTGCTCCTAATATGGTATAATAAGGGCTTCTTTATTAAAAGCAATCTCACAGATCACAACGGGGAACAGGAATGGAATTCAACATCCAGGTGTGGTGATCGTGATGCAGGGTTATGAGGCAGCATGGAGACAGTCCCACAGCCCAGGGTCACTGTACATGGAGACAGTCCTACTGTCCAGGGTCACGGTACATGGAGACAGTCTCACAGCCCAGGATCATGATACATGGAGACAGTCCTATAGTCCAGGGTCATGGTATATGGAGACAGTTCCACAGCCCAGGATCATGATACATGGAGTCAGTCCTATAGTCCAAGGTCATGGGACATGGAGACAGTCCCACAGCCCAGGGTCACAGGACATAGAGACAGTCCCACAGCCCAGGGTCGTGGTACATGGAGACAGTTCTATAGTCCAGGGTCACGGTACATGGAGACAGTTCTATAGTCCAGGGTCACGGTACATGGAGACAGTCCTATAGTCCAGGGTCACGATACATGGAGACAGCCCTATAGTCCAGGGTCACGGTACATGGAGACAGTTCTATAGTCCAGGGTCATGCATGGTACACGGAGGCAGTCCTATAGTCCAGGGTCATGCATGGTACATGGAGACAGTCCCTCAGCCCATGGTAAGCAGCTCTCTCTCTACCACTGTGCCCTTAACCACTCACCTGCTGGTCTCTCCCAGCCTTACTTCCAGTAAAGAAAGAAACTTAGGGAAAGATGTTGGGTCAACACAAAACACAACCCTCCATAAGCTTCTGGCAATGCAGGCTGAGAGAGGGGCTATAGAGAACAAACCCAATTATGTGTGTCAAGGCCAGACAAGAAGCCACCAGACCTAAAGACCCAGCCTCCTGGTCTACCCTGGGAGGTAGAGAACCAATCAACCCAAGTCAGCATGCCCTGCCTAAATGTCACCTATTTACAAACATAGCTTGTGAAGAATAAATCAAACACTGCCTGTCCCTAGACTCCCCAGAGCCAGCAGAGAGTGTGACTTTGGGAACAACACCCGTCTGCATTGGCAGACGGTCCCGGGAACACAGTCTGCACCTGCTCTGTTGTTGGTAAAAAGTCTACAGGCGTTTTGAATGTGACATCATAGAGCGTGATTACTCCCCAAATGCCTGGCCGTACCATTTCCTGGACTGTATACTGCTACTCTGACTTGACACAGAGACAGGACGATCCTCTAAGTGTGATGTCCACCATCCTTACAGGATCAGAAGACATGACTTGTGCCAGGGCCCAGCGAGCTCATCAGCGCAGGAGCGGAAGGAGTCGGAGACGTATCACTGAAATAAAAATAGGAAGAACCACGGACACCAAGGTGAGTCATCTCAGCTCAGGGACACATGACAATTCGCTTATTCACCCATCCAACATCTTGGCTTGCACTTGAAGTGCCAGGCATGGCCTAAGAGGTGTGTGGGTGTTTGGTACATGCAGCATTTTGGGGGCTTGGTGAGGGAAAGGCCCCCAGGAAGCAGCTTCAGTTTTGGGTATAATGATACACATAGGCAAGGACATGCTTGGCTCCTAGCTCTGTCGCAAGGCAACCAGGAAATCCTGGGAAGATAAAACCCTGGAACCAAAGCTGGGTGGGCAACTGGGGGTAACTCTGAGATCTGCTCTCTACTGCCCCCTGGTGGCCAGCATGTTAGGGCTTTCTTCCCTGCCTCTCACCTCCTGACTTTCTACAACCAGTGTGCCACACTCAAATCCATCTTAGTCTGTACTTCTGAGGGAATCAAACCCAAACGGCCAAAGTACTTTAAATTTTCATGTATATCATCACATGTCATATGCCCTGGTCTAGAAAGTCCCTGTGTTCTATATCTGGGTCACAAGTGGTAACTATAAAAGAACAGTCTTCACTCAAAAACCACTGTAAGTGCGCCTCTCTTGAACACTCCATCTACGGAGGCCAGAAAATATGATAAAGGTGACTATTTTAAACTATCTTTTTAATTAAGACATTTTCTTCGTAATTTACTTCCTAGAAATGGAGCCTGGCTTATTTCTGCTCAGACCTTATGACAGTATGGAGTTTTCTAGTGAAGATCAAGGCCTCCGGCCACGAAGAAGACCGCCGAGTTAATGAGCCCCGTTGGGCCGACTCCACTTGTCCCTTGCTCCTGTCAGCCTGCCCCTTGCTCTGGTGACTCTTGTCAACCTTCGCTGTTCTCACAGAGGACCCTTGCAGGGAAGAAAAAAAGAAATCATCTTGGTTCCAGACAGCCTAGGAAAAGTACACATCTGGGGTGCACTACGGAAGGAAAGATAAACAGTGAGCCTCAGAATTTGCTTAGTGTCAAGTTACTTGTCTCCCCAAAGTCTTGATTTTAGCCAGACTTCCCTCAGGCCGGTTTGAAATAAGGACATTTTGAACTGTAGAATCGTAACCCGGCTGCATAAAGAGACCGCTGATGGACTGTTTCTGAATTTTATCCCAGGCATGGTACATGGGGAAAGATTTATAAAACAGCTTTCTGTCACCGTAACACAAAGAAATCCCTAAACTTGGTGAAAATTGGCCGAATATGCCTGAGAAAGTATCTTGTCCTGTAAGAATCGGGTTAGGCAGAGAAATCACAATGGCAGAGAGGAACACACACCACACGCGCGCACACACGCACACACACACACACACACACATTTTCTGTGGTGCACCTGCCAATGAGGAACATGGTGCACAGCACATTCATCTCAAAATAGATCAATGATTTTGTAACAGCTGCCTCTGTCACCTCCTTAAATTCCTGACCTGACTGCCCCACCACAGGTAATTCCAAGAGTCCGTCTGGGGGCCGCACTCAAGGGTGAGGGAAGGAGACAACTTTCCTTGTAACTTTCCTCTTCCTCCTTTTTCATTAACAATTAATAGTTGTTCCTATTTAAGGGGCGCGACACCGGCGTGTGCCAATCAAACCAGGCTAATCAGCATTTCCATCTCATCGTTTCTTTGTGTTCAGAGACTTCAGGTTCTTTGCTCTAGACCTTCATCAAATATGGAGCAGGTTATTGTGAGCCGCAGCCATCCCTCAGGCCTGACGACTCCTGTCAGGCTGTGAAGGAGACCATTCTGACAGGAGTGACTCAGCAGCCTCGGTCCCCGAGGAGAAGAAAGGAAGGAAAGGGATCACCCCCGGGTTTTTCTTCAAAGACAGTTGCAATCTGACAGAAGATATATGCCTGGGGTGTCTGAAAGCAAAGGCAGATTCCGTTCTTAGTTATAATGGGCTATAAGAAACATTAGAAGAAGTCACTGCATGGCACCAGAAGCACGTTTCATGTTGTTTTCAAACCCTTGCATGCCTGCCATTGGATAAACACTTTAGAGAACACCTTAAGTCTCAAACAAGCAAAACAGAGGAAGAAGAAAAAGCAACATCGTTCTCAGGCATGTCAGAATAAGAACACTGTATGCAATCTCTCCGTGACTCAGTTTCCTTATCTGAAAAGTGGGGATAATCATAGTACTCAGCTTGTTAGATTTTCACACATATCCAAGGACTTGACACACATTGTTAGCCATGGGCAGGTGGGTACTACCCCCACCATCATATCAGCATACCCAACCGGAAAGGCAATGTAAGCACAGTACCGCCCACCAGACACAAATAACTAGAACTCAAAGTCCCCCCTATTGGTAACATCCTCAGCACACTCACAATACAGCTCAGTAAGTCGGAAATAGGCAGTCGAGGTTGCTAGTTGGCACTGAAGCTCTGATCCCAAGGTGTACCAAGTTCAGGCGTGTAACAGTCAGAAATGTCCTTTCAGTTCGGGACTTTATGAGAACAGAAAAGGAAGTTGCCTACAGGGAGCAAATCTAGGCTCTCTAATGAGGCTCTCAGGCCCTTAGGCACAGTGAGTAACAAAGGCTGTTCTGGCGCCTCCCTCAGAGCAGTGTGACTAAATGTGGCAGAAGCTGTCGGGGGACTGAAATGTGAAATGCACTCACTGGCTCGTGGGCTGATCTCCAGCTCCTGCCTACTATGGGGAAGTCAGCTTCGGTCACAAGCTTCCTGTATCACGATGCTCTACCTGTCGTGGACCTGGAATCAACAGAGCAGAGGACTATGCATCAATACCTCGGAAGCTGTGACCCCCAAGCAAACCCTCCTTGAAGTCGTTCTCTGAGGCAGTTTGGTCACAACTACTGAGAAGTGACATAAAACCCCTCCTGTGGGTGCTGACCGCTCACTGCCTTGGATCCTCTTGTGTGGAACCGCTGGGATCTGCGCTGTCTGCCTCTTTCTCAGGCCTCTTTTCACCGAGGCATGTTGTCTTCTTTGTAACCACGCCGTTTTGCCTGTCTTCTGCTGGCTGACCTTCTGCTCCGTCTATGGAGGACTAGCCACCCCAGTGATGATTCTCTCTGCCTTCTGTGGCTACAGAAAGTCTTTCAGCCCTGTAGGAAGACCCACTTCTAACTCAGGGTTAGGATTGGGTAAATCCCTTATTTGTGCATTGCTACACACTTGGTCTTTATGGCCTTAAAATATTGTGCCAACAGCCGTGATTTGGGTATGTGAATCTCCTTGGGACTTGGTGTCATGCGGGCTGTAATGTGGAGCTGTCCTTAAATTACAGAGTTTCAGAGGTAACGAGACTACGGGTGGGTGAACTGGCAAACCCAGGAGGAGATCTGGACATAGGCTGCTGTGCTGAGGAGGCGGCACGTGACAAGGCCTTCACTTGATGTCGAGACACACATGGGGAGGAAGGAAACATTCCAGTCAGCAATTGTTATTCCATTGGGACACTTTAAGAACTAACCACGCCCATCCCAGCCACTTTTGGACCCTCCCCCTGCCGCCATCTTCTCTCTCTCTCTCTCTCACGTGTGTGTGTGTGTGTGTGTGTGTGTGTGTGTGTGTGTATGTCTTTGTTTTATGTTTGTCTATATCTCCCTTTTTTAAGTAATAAATGTCTAGCTTTATGTATAGCCTTATGTCCATTTACTCTGCCGTTCACCGTATCCAGCCGCCTGACTCTGCCGCTCGCCCAGGGACCCTGTACTGCTCCAGCGGCAGCTTCTGCCTGGCTTGCAGGCCGCCGGGGCCATCATATCATATTATTTTTAAAAAGAACAATAGCAATGATTCCCTGTGAGGAACCTGGTCCTCAGCTATTTGCCCGACACCCTGCGCAGGGGCACATCCTAAGTGCTCGATTATTATTTAGTGAATGAACGAATGAATGAACATGTCGAGGATAAAAAGCACATGCAACCTGCAATGCCAATGAAGGATGAATGACAGTTTCCCAGCAGGAACTACTTAGTTTTGCTCCCATGTAGAAGCCAAGGGCGGGAGCCGAAGAAAACACTAGAATGTCTGTCTGTGGTGCTTTGCAGTAGTGAACGGGCACAAAACAATTCTTTACCACCTTTACTATTGTGAACATCTGGATGGGTCTTAAATTAACCAGAATCTCCAGTTTTTCTTATCTGTCCTTTCTTCTAGCCCATCTCTTCCTTCTCTCTTTCCTACTCCTTCCATTCCTTTGTGAAAATGCCTACTACACATCCCTTTGGTTATCAAAGGCTCCAAATGTTTGATTTATGAAAATTACAAACAGATGCTATGCAGCGATGCATTAATGGCCACAAAACCCTCACAATGGGATGGAACATCCCAAACAGTGAGACAAAGGGGACCATCTCCCGCCCTCCCACTGACTGTCTTAAAGTCATCCAAATGGAACACAGCTCCGAGATATATGGTCTTCAAGGTTAGAGACGCTCAAGGTTCCAAATACGCATGCCATAAATAATGCTGAATTTACAAATAGCCTCGGAAAAGGTCAGTGCATTCTCTCCTTTTAGAGCGGTCCTAGCTATCGGTCATATTTGTTTACTCCTTTATTAACGCCTCAACTGCCTTGAAACCCAAACAGCCACTTGGAGAACAGAGAGGAGACACTGGCTTAGTGTGTTGTATACTTGGATGCAGAAGTTTTAAACATGATTTTATTTGTAAATGTGATTACTGTCCTTGGTGTGGCTGTGGGGGTGGAGGGTGGCATGGGGGTGGGGCATTTGCCAGTGGAGAGGAATCAGAAAAGAGGAAGTCTACTAATGTTTAGCTGGGAGTGAAGCCTTGTCATTAGGAAAGTATTAGAACTTTAGACCTGTTTTAGAAAAAGAGAATCCATGTTTAAGGACTCGGTGTTCTTAAATAAATTCTGAAAAAATATGATAGGAATAATTGATAAGAGGAGATGAAGTCCGACTTCCTTCTAACCAGGGCAGTTGATTAGCATATTTTTGAAGAAACTCCCTGAAAGCAAAACTTAGGCCTCTCTAGGGCAGTTTCTTTCCTTTCCTGGGACCAGGAGCCTGTGAGTCTCTGGGTCCTACAAGCCCTGGAAGCCGAGAAGGTCAGCCCTGCAGGGAACAGCCCGGAGGCCCCCCCACCCCCCTACCTCCCCCCCACTTCCCCACCCTCCACCCCCCCAACCCCTCCAC